GTGACGTCACCCATTGGCTTGTTGACTGCCCTTTTGAAGCCTCGAGTTTGGCAGATTGACCGTCGCCTTGTTGATTTTTTGCAACCAGGCACTGGATGTGACCAACTGCCGACGAAGCATATATAAGCTAGTTCAACTGCAATGTTCAATTTACACAGTGCAGTGGATACAAGTTGCCTTTAGCCTGATTCACAGGTTGTCATGATAGCAACTTGTCAATCCTAAGGTGGTCCCACCCTAAAGCATATCCTCCTTTATTGTTTATTTTCCTCTAAATGGGACCATGATTTACAAAATGAACATCATGCTGTATTGAAAAAGGTTTGAGACCATAAACACATTAGGAAAGTGTTTACTGAGTTAAGCAGAGGCTGCTGCTTGGTCCTGACCAAGAAATAGCCCATTACATAAACCCCCTTGTAAAACGATCTTCAACTTTATTGTTTTCTTCTTTACAAAAATGGCTAATGGGGTCCCCAGTATATAAAGCTATACTGCTGTTGTGATAGAAAAAAAGACAAAAGGTAGTAGAAATAAGACTAACATGTATTGACTATACTAGTCCTCCTAACTCCCTTGCTCACTTTATGTTAGTGGTCGTGTTGTTATGTATTTTCTGTTTGCTATATTGTTTTACTGTAGCAGGAAATCTCCACTTGCAATGTGATACAAATGTTCCTGACAGAAATCATGATGCTCAATGACCATAACAGACGCATTGAGTTTCATGTGGACAAAGAGGGGAAATCTAATTAGGTGAGGATGAGTTGTCTTTCTCTATCACAACTTCACATTATAATTTTACACTGGAAAAAGTAAGGTGGCTTTTACCCTTTACATGCTGGCTGGCTCAGTTCATTTTGGTCACATCCTGGCCTATGTCAATGGTCACAGAGTTTCCCTTCAGTCATATGACTACTCTGACTGGTAACCAGACTTCATTAAAAGAAAACACTACCTAACAGGAAAGTTTCTGTTTTTATTTACTATTATGTTATATTATATGGTTCCCTCTACATCGCATGTCTGTGAGTTTTGCATACATTCTTATATAAGAGGAGGTCTAAAGCATGATGAATTTTGGCTACGATAAGAAACTACGTGTTATGAAAATGGATAGCACAGGACAGGGAAAATTAAGAGGATATATTTGCACAGCGGTGTGGTGCTGGGATACCCTCAGGAGAATTAAACACCATCACTGGATAATTTGTGACTGCATTTTGTCTTGTTGCTCTTCTGAGCATGAATATGCAGAACTGTGGAAGCACCCTACATCAAAGCTTTCTGGGAAGAAACATTTTCCAGATATATATCCTTTTTTTTCATCCAACATATGAGTCTTGCACAGGCTCAATAATTGCCTATTAGTTTCTCAAGTCAAATTAAAGAGCACATGAGTGGGCTTTTCAAGTGCCCCCCACCAGGGAAATAGAATAATCTGATCATATTTTGAACCTTTATTTGTTAAGAGAATTTTTACAGAGCACAGTGACTCTTCTTTAGCAACATAATTCCTTCATGGCTGAAGTTTAAAGGTGAACTCCAGTTCAGGACTAATCAATGTTTCCTGGGTTAATTCTACATCTGACGGGTCATCATCCAACAGCAAGATAAGCATGCATAAACATTTCAGGTGCATTAACACTGGTAACTCTTGGTTACATGATCATCAAAACTACAGGTGCTGGTCATATAATTAGAATATCATCAAAAAGTTGATTTATTTCAGTAATTCCATTCAAAAAGTGAAACTTGGATATTATATTCATTCATTACACACAGACTGATATATTTCAAATGTTTATTTAATTTAATTGTGCTGATTAAAACTGACAACTAATGAAAATCCCAAATTCAGTATCTCCGAAAATTAGAATATTACTTAAGACCAATACAAAAAAAAGGATTTTTAGAAATGTTGGTATGAGCATGAAAAGTATGAGCATGTACAGCACTCAATACTTAGTTGGGGCTCCTTTTGCCTGAATTACTGCAGCAATGGGCGTGGCATGGAGTCCATCAGTCTGTGCTCAGGTGTTATGAGAGCCCAGGTTGCTCTGATAGTGGCCTTCAGCTCTTCTGCATTGTTGGGTCTGGAGTATCGCATCTTCCTCTTCACAATACCCCATAGATTTTCTATAGGGTTAAGGTCAGGCGAGTTTGCTGGCCAATTAACAGGGATACTATGGTCCTTAAACCAGGTACTGGTAGCTTTGGCACTGTGTGCAGGTGCCAAGTCCTGTTGGAAAATGAAATCTGCATCTCCATAAAGTTGGTCAGCAGCAGGAAGCATGAAGGGCTCTAAAACTTTCTGGTAGATGGCAGTGCACAGTGGACCAACACCAGCAGATGACATGGCACCCCAAACCATCACTGACTGTGGAAACTTTACACTGGACTTCAAGCAACATGGATTCTGGGGCCTCTCCTCTCTTCCTCCAGACTCTGGGACCTTGATTTCCAAAGGAAATACAAAATTTACTTTCATCAGAGAACATAACTTTGGACCACTCAGAAGCAGTCCAGTCCTTTTTGTCTTTAGCCCAGGTGAGACGGTTCTGACGCTGCGTCTTGATCAAGAGTGGCTTGACACAAGGAATGCGACAGCTGAAACCCATGTCTTGCATACGTCTGTGCGTGGTGGTTCTTGAAGCACTGACTCCAGCTGCAGTCCACTCTTTGTGAATCTCCCCCACATATTTGAATGGGTTTTGTTTCACAATCCTCTCCAGGGTGCGGTTATCCTTATTGCTTGTACACTTTTTTCTACCACATCTTTTCCTTCCTTTCACCTCTCTATTAATGTGCTTGGACACAGAGCTCTGTGAACAGCCACCCTCTTTAGCAATGACCTTTTGCGTCTTGCCCTCCTTGTGCAAGGTGTCAATGGTCGTCTTTTGGACAGCTGTCAAGTCAGCAGTCTTCCACATGATTGTGTAGCCTACAGAACTAGACTGAGAGACCATTTAAAGGCCTTTGCAGGTGTTTTGAGTTAATTAGCTGGTTAGAGAGTGAACCAGGTGTCTTCAATATTGAACCTTTTCACAATATTCTAATTTTTTCATTAGTTGAAAGTTATAATCATCAAAAATAAAAGGAATGAAATATTATCAGTCTGTGTGGAATGAATGTATACATTATACAAGTTTCACTTTTTGAATGGAATTACTGAAATAAATTAACTTTTTGATGATATTCTAATTATATGACCAGCACCTGTAATGCTGCAGTGGAGCCTAGCCTTTATCCTCTTTACTGCCTGCAGCCCTCTGTAGGTACATAGTATACAATCTGACTTCTTTTTGCAACCAGTGGAGTTGCCCCTTGCTGACCATTAGAAGGAATGCAGGTTTAAGACCCTTCTGCACTGGCTTCCCTTTTCACTTGAGATTACCGGACTTTTAGTCTTTAGTATGGCTCAAACTCCAAAGACACTGGATCGTACACTTCCCATAAATCAACAGTCTCTTTAATTAGACCTGCCTGCTTGTACTATTATACATTATATAATTAGATTATTATTACTCATGCATTAATGTAAAAGCAGGATTTTAGTGTTGTAGTTGGTTGAGGTTTAACTGTTTTGTATCAGACTGCAGTTAATGATTATTATCATTATGGATTAATCTGATGATAATTTTCTCTATTAATTGATTGTAGTAATTTTTAAAAATACAGAAAAATGTTCTCAAAATTAACCAGAGCCCGAAGTGACACCTTTACAATGCTTGTTTTGTCAGTCCAGACCTCAAAATGAGTAACATTAAAATAATCAAAAGTAAAAGCAGCAAACCTTCACATTTGTGAAGCTGGAACCATGACAAGTTTTTACATATAAAATTACTTATTCAAGTCTCAAAATAATTGGCAATTAAATTTCTGTCAGTCAATGAATATAGGCTACTAGCTGTACTTGTATAAACTGTTGAGTAGTTTAATTAATAACAAACATCATAATTTTCACACTCATATGTTTTGTGTGTAATAATCTCACTCTGTAAAGTAACTATTAACTGAAGCTGTCAGATAAATGCAGTGAGGTCAAAAGTACAATATCTCCCTCTGAGTGTAATAAAAAGTGGCATGAAAAGAAAATACTTGAGTAAAGTATACCTCTAATTTGTAAGCAGTACTTGAGAAAATGTACTTAGTTACTGTCCATCACTGACTATAGTTAATGCATTAACAGTAGGCCTACATAAGATTTTAATGTTGTAGCTGGTCAATAGGGAGTTCATTTTAACCAAATTATAGACATATGAGTACTTTTATCTGCAAAATAGCCGTAATTACAGCTGTAGATGCAACATTCTATAAGAAAAATATGTTTAAACTTAGGCTACTGTTAATTATTTTCACAGGCATCCATCAGCGATTTCAGCTTTTTGTTCATGTTTCTGAGTTTTGACAAGTGTATGCTTTAGTAATAACATACATAGGCTATTATTATTATAAGGACCCTATTGAAATGCAAGGAGTTATTATATTGTTATTAGGCTGTATTAGATGCCTATGTAGAGTATAGAAGCAGTAGTCTTAATAATAATTCAACTTAAATTAGTATACTGATCAACACATTTATTAATCAAATATATTTTATTATGTCAACCTAAACAACATTGGGCGAGTAAAGACTTTCCATTAATAAAATAAAGAAAGACAAGTTAATCACACAGCTTACCTGAATCACACCAACCCCTCTGGATCAAAATGACCGGGGGGGTCTCGCCGAGCTCGGCTCTCCTGTTCTCAGCGGCCATGCGGCAGATGCTGGGGTAAGTCCTGCCGTCGCTGCCGCACACCGGGCCGGAGGAGGCGCACACGCAGCTGTGGAGCCCCCCCGGGACAGAGTCGCACCGCAGCCCGTCACCGCAGGGGAGGCCGGCACCGCTCCGCTCCCCGCAGGCATCACCCTCCCCAGCAGCGCACACTACGCAGCACCCGCACCTGTCCTTCACCTGCCCGTAGTAACAGACCTGCGGTGGCACAGGGCAATGAGAGGCATCGCAAACCTGCGGGCAGGTTTGTCTGTTTTTCAGCAGACCTGCGTGAGCTGCGGAGGTGAGAAGGGTGAAGTAAGCCACAAACTTCATCATGACCAAACATCGATTCACAACAGTCGTCCTTTTCTTGTTGACTCTGTAGGCCAAGGTTTATGCTGTCCCGTTCCTTGGGTCCATGTGATAGGCTACATCCAGGTAGGCTCATACTTTAAAGACAATGTCATTGCCGCTGTTTTCATAGCCTAAAGAACTGGATAAGGGCCAATAACGATATATTCTAGTAGCAGCATGCTGATCCTGCTTCACCTGCATGTTCCCGTAGGCTACGCTGTTCCCTCAACCGCTGTGGAATGCAGCTGCATGAGGTTAGTGGACATGTTTTTTATGCGGAGATTCAAAGGCCACATATACTGTAGTCTCTGCCTTCCACTCAGGGAGACAAAATTGCATGTGATGATAAAAGTAAAAGGCTTTCTTGTTAGTCTGTGGCTTGTAATTAAATAACTGGCATTTAATGCTGAGGTCAAGCTGAGGGCTCTTTCTTTCAGAATTACAGTTGACATTTAAGTCTTAGTGCATATGGGTAATTTCATTCTTCATAAACAAAACACTTAAATGTGTTTTGAAGCTGTCAGGGCACATCACCTTTATTGACTTTATTAGTGGCCTTCATATCCTAGTGAACAGGTTGAATAATTCTTTTTCTGCATCTATTTTCCCTTTTAACTGTTTCTCTTCTTGAGAATTAGATGATTTTCAATGTTGTAAAATCAAGGGCATCAGGACTTGAAGATTGAAGATACCTGAAGGTGAAGTGTGAAGTTTTATACACACTTAAAATAATGTCCTGCTGATAATGAAATTTCCGGTTCATTATATTACAAGGATACATGTTATTTTTCTTTAATCAGCTTCATGCCAAAAAGGTACTGGAGCATATATTTAGAAATGTTAATTACCCAGTTATGATTTTGGGCATGATTTTTTTGTTGTCCTGTTACAAGTCATTACCCATTTTTTAAGACTTTCAATTTTTTGTCTATATTTGACACTTACTTGAGATCTGAGACAGGATCTTCAAAAAATGTCCAGTCCATTTTTAGAGTTTTGTGGGAAACTAACAGCTTTTTGGAATTTTTATGTCATAAATGTTCTGTTGTATTAGTCTCTGGGGTTTCCTCTAACATAATCTTTTTCACTGTTGCACTTTAAATCTTTTTTTGTACTTTGCATACACTTGAGATTAAATTCAGCTTCTTCAAAAGATACAGGTTTCATTCTACTTCATCTAGTGGCCCTGAAAATCTTATTTCATTTGTAAAAGTTTGTTAAAAATAGTGTTTTCAACTTGAGGTGTATGTATTTACAATAAGAGAAACTAAGTAGTAGTTCCCATTGTGTATTAAATGCAGTAATATAAAGGGTTGAAAATAATATGCCATGTAGCTAGTCTGTTCATGGATACCATGGAGAAACCAGTAAGGATGTTCATGTACAGCAAATGTCCAGGGTTTGGCCAGGCAGGTACAGATCTTCCAGTCCATTCGTAACTGGGGTAAAGTTGTGTTTAAATAGGGCAGGCAACACCACCTAGGTTTTTATCATGACGCCTAGAACCTCTATAGATTGACCAAGATAATGTTTATTCTCAAAATTAGGGAAACAGTGGAAAACAGTGTTTCTTTAAAAACTACAAATAAAAGCACAGAAATTCAATAGACAAGTGTAAAACAAAGTCCACACAAGTCCAAATATGATAAAAAATAATGCAGCCACCAACGACGGGACTGAAGCAGACCTTATGAAGATATTCTGTATTCAGTATTTTCTTTTATGGAGGGAAATAGTGTACAATGGTGAATAAAATACCAAATAAGACATTTGCTCTTGAGCCCACACTCTGAATACTTACACTCAAACTATTCCTTGAAATAGAAATCTTACCTTGTGACAATTTTCCTTAAGGAAAATTGTCACAAGGTCTGCCTCAGTCCCATTCTTCCCTCAATCCACTCACCTCTCTCTTCCCCATGCCTATGCATTTCATTGCCGTTCTCCTTCCAGCCACCAGATGCCCTCAGACTTTTCTCGCTTCATTCCAGATCCTGACACTCCCATCCCCCCTGCAATCACCTCATTTTGCTCACCTGACCTTCCCAAAGGGGTAAGCCAGAGTTGGAACACCAAAGCCTGCATGGAACGTTCCATCAGCCATTCACCTAAATATACCAGCCCAGAAACATTGTTCCTCTGACAGTTTGTCAAAGTTATCATGTACAGCGTGCCTTTGTTTTCGAGCCTGAGCCTGTACCTAACCTGAACCTGCCAGTTCCATGCACCATGCCTATATAGCCTCACTTTGACAATAAATGACTGAACTCTAATGTGCTGCCTGCATTGCCTATGTTTGCGTCCAATCATTCTGCCCGTCTACTAAAAATATCAGTCAACAGTTTGTTTTTTCAGAAATATACACCACTGACATAGATCACTCTTTGACCATTTCAACAATCATTCAGGAAGTGTTTTGCCTCCTGCATTATCTTTACCTGGCTGTTGAAGTTACGTTTAATCCTTTTCACCTCTTGTAAAAGTTAGGTGAACTTTTAGACCCTGGACATTATTATCTTCACTGGTGATGGCAAAAGTAGGATTCAGTGTGGCAGATCGGCCACTCGATAGTTTTAAGATGACTAGTTTATTTTGAGTTGATTGGAAAAGACGTGGATTGTCCATCTGTGTATTTATTTTCTCATCACTGTAGTCAGAGACACTGCGATTGCACACTGTGTGAGTCAACTCATTCTATTCAGTAAGACAGATCTTGATAATAGCTCAATAGTCTGTGACAAGCAGCCAGGCTGTGTATAACAGTGTGAGCCTCTTTATGACGCATACTGTAATATATTTCAGGGGAGGCTCTTTGATTTCGCTCACTGTGACCTATCTTTATGTGGAAATGAAATGAGAGCCATGCAGATATTTTAGAATAAAAACAGGGTAAGTACTCAAACATGAAAGTACTGTAAGGTGTAAGCGCGACTGCTACCACTGATGTTGTCTGCAAGACCTCAAAATGTCTGAAAATCAGTTTTGGCAGAAGGCGGAAACGGCAGAAAAGGCTTTGATAGATTTTTAACAATTTTAATATGATTTAAAATTGATTTAATATGCTTTGTGATCTCCAAAGCAGCAAAATTGGACATAAAACCCAAAGCCACCTAATGTTAACCTCTGTGCGTAACCTAATAAACTGTACTTATTCCATGAAATACTGATAGGCCTGAAGTGTCCTCCAGCCCACTTGATATAATACCTACAAAATTTTTACTAAAAGTAATAGATTCTGTTGGGCCCCATTTGATCTCTGTTTTCAACAGCTCCCTATCTACTGGTTGTGTCCCTGATTATTTTAAAACGGCTTGCGTGAACCCACTTTTAAAGAAACCTGGTTTAGATCCCTCCCTCCCACAAAATTTTAGACCAATTTCAAAACTGCCTTTTATTGCAAAGATTCTAGAAAGAATTGTGTCCAAACAGCTGCTCACTGTGCTGGAAAATAACAAAATATTTGAAAAGTTTCAGTCTGGTTTTAGGAAAAGTCACCAATGACCTTTTAATGTCTGCTGATGAAGGTATGTGCTCAGTCCTTGTACTCCTGGACCTTAGCGCTGCTTTTGACACCATTGATCACAACATCATGTTAGACAGACTGAGGCACTGGGTGGGGATCTCTGGTACTGCTCTAGAATGGTTTTCATCCTACCTGTCAAATAGGAAGTTTTGCGTGTCTGTAAACAACTATGTCTCTTCATTCTGTCCAGTTAAATATGGTGTGCCTCAGGGGTCGGTCTTAGGACCCATTTTGTTTTCCTTGTATCTGCTTCCCCTTGGACATATTATCCATAAACATGGCATTTCTTTTCATATTTATGCTGATGACACACAAATATACTTGCCCGTCAGATCCACAGACCCTGGAATGCTGAGTTCACTTAACAACTGCCTTTGTGAAGTTAAAAAATGGATGTCAAATAATTTCCTCCAGCTGAACTCAGACAAAACAGAAATCCTGGTCATCAGGTCCCAGCAGATGGCAAATCAAATACTGCCATCTGCTGGTTCCCTAGTAAATCACATTAAGCCTGTGGCAAAGAACCTTGGTGTTTGGTTTGATAGTAATTTAAATTTCGAGCAGCACACCACAAAGCTTGTTCAATCATGTTTTTATCAACTTAGAAATATAGCTAAAATTCGATCTATGTTAACTTTTAAGGACACCGAGACCATTTTACACGCCTTCATCTCATCACGCCTGGATTATTGCAACAGCCTTTTCACCTGTTTAACCCAAAAATCTATTGATCGACTCCAGACTGTCCAGAACTCAGCTGCCAGGCTTTTAACCAGAACAAAGAAATATGACCACATTACTCCTATTTTAGCTTCATTACACTGGCTCCCAGTATGTTTTAGAATTGACTTTAAAATTCTATTGATCACTTTTAAAGCTCTTCATGGCCTCTCGCCTTGTTATATTTCTGACCTTTTAGTCCCATACGCACCAGCACGTACCTTGAGATCCTCGGGCAGAGGTCTGTTGTCTGTTCCAGAGTCTCGACTGAAAACTAAAGGGGACAGAGCGTTTGCTGTCAGGGCCCCGAGGCTCTGGAACAGCCTGCCCGAGGAAATCAGGTCGGCTGAGTCAGTGAACTCTTTTAAGTCCCTTCTTAAAACATACTTTTATAGGAGAGCTTTTCCCGATCTTATTTGACTTTATTTTATCCCTTTTATTTTATTGTATTTTACTAATTTTATATTAAATTTTCATGCTCTTATCTTTTTTTTGTATTATTCTTTACACTTGTTAAAGCACTTTGTAACTTGTTTTTGAAAAGTGCTCTACAAATAAGGATTATTATTATTATTATTACATATTTACTTTAAATTCACAAAAAATTCTCCCCAAAAAATAAAAATAAACAGTAAAAGACAGTTCTGTTTGTATTTAAGTTATAAATAAAACATTATTTAATGAATGTAAAGGGTCACTGCTGACATTGGAAATGGTTAGGATTTTTTGTAAATTGTTTTTTTTTATAGCATGACAATGTTTAAAGTATCAGGTCTCAGGGAATTGATATGATTGTTAGGTTAGTGCATTATAATGTAGCAATTTAAGTGGATTTTTGCATTAGGGGATTATGATTAAATTGACAATCATGCTTTCCATAATGTATGTGCTTGATATAAAAACAAAAACAGTTAGATAACTTTTTTTTTTGTTGATTTATGTATGTATGTTTACTATTGACCATATATAAGATCATATGAGATTAAGATTTCCACACATTCCTCACATGTCCCTGAATACGGCTGCGACTGTTATTACTGCTAAGACCACCACCATTAATGAACATGATAATGTAGTTCATCCGTCACACTTGTCAGCTCATATCATAACAGTTTATACTCTTTAATGTCACTTCTTGGAACATCTATCTTAGATACACCTCAGGGGGTTGACTCTGTGATAGTAATTGGACGGGCTGATTAAAACATATGGAGGAGTACTGCTTTTAATGAGGTCTTGATGATAATACTAACAGTTTGGGTAAAAGTAATGATACTGGCATTACAAATGCCTTACCCTTTGGCAGAAGTTCAATTGCATGGCGTTATATGATATGTTGACTGCCTTCCAGGCTCCATTATATGGTGATGGAGAGCAGATGAACCAAAGACGAGCATCTGCCAGGGTTCATTCTGTCTGTGAAAGAGCTTTTGTGTTGACAGCTTCTGTATGTTTGACTGAAACTGTCGAGCCAATCATAGTGGTATGAAAGGAAAAAATGAAACCTCGCATTTTCAGTTGAAAAAACTTATATGAAACAATCACTCATACCAGTCTTGAGTGACTTCTTCTTAGCCTATATATACTAATACATAATGTGTTTTGTACGTTCATCTTCTACAGCATTTAAGCTAATAGGGTGATTTCATGGTGAGGACTGTGTCGATTGATACAGACCTTTCAAAGCACGGCCCACATCACATTCCTCCTCCAGCTGACTGCATAATGGTCAAATTGAACAGTAATGGCAGACTGCGGTGGAATTCAATTTCCTGATTATTTTGTTATGATTGTAATTACAGTATGTCCACATGGTAAATGGATTACATTTAGCATAGTGCAGTTAAGAACCCTTACATCAGAGGCAAAAGAAATGACCTGACATTTCCATAATGGCTGACTGTAACTGCGCAAGTCGTTTTTTCATTTATAGCGGCTGTCATTCTGCCTGCTCCTTCAGCATACAAATCCATTATTTCCCCCAGAAAACTCATAATTCATAAGCTCATTACAGAGGGTGTGAATTAAAGAGGCTGTGCACGTCCTTTGTGAAATTTCCTGATCACGAGCGGCCTAGTTTTGAAAGTCAAGAAAAGCTTCTAACTTCTAGAGATTCTTTCAGTGACTTTGAAAGGAGTCGGTTTGTCCTCGTGTGATGGAAAGTTCAGATCGTACGAAGTGCTCTTTCACAGGGTTTTCTGCCGCTCCACTTAGCCATGACTTGTCACACTGCTGCTATGAGCCAGGTTTGTGTGCGACTTGGACCTTCTCCAGAGTCCTGTCTTTTATCACCAGTACAACATTTGATCATCACCTTGTGCTGCTGCTGGTCTCTGGAAATAAGTTAAGGGGATTGAATATTGTCTTGCTGCCAGTAGGGGGCAGAAGTGATCCATATTTCATGCTCTGTGTACTCCTCCTATCTAAATTGGGGCAGGAGGTGCAGCGGGGAGAATGCCTTTAAGCTCCACTGCCTCTTTAGACCCAGATGCATCAGGGAAGGTCTGCTGCTCCCAAGGTCAGCCATCTGAGGACCAGCACTGACCGCAGCTCCTCTCCTCTTCTACTGATGACCGCTGGACTAATTGGCTATGGGTTGCCTCTGAAATAAAACTGAAGCGAAATGACAGCCCCTCTGGACTATCTGAGATGCAGCTTTTTAAAGGTCCCATATGGCAATTGTCAGAGCCGGGGCTGTTTGAGGGGAACTCTCCATATCCTTTTTCATTAGCCTTGACTGCTGTTGTTGATGAGATGTAATGTGGTGGCAAAGTGCATCTCAACATCCCCTCTCCGGTGGTAGCTGTCAGATCACCACCACGGCAAATAAGCTTAGTCATGGATATTGAGTTTCCTCCCTAACTTGTTTTTGAGTGTGCTGATTGATGGCGCGAAATCTATTAAGAGGATTTAGTCGAGTTTAAAATTGAGGGCAGAAGTGTCTGTGAATTAGCTTTCTTAATGTCAGGAAATTCTGGTCGAAAACTACAAGAACAAGAGGTGAGGGAA